ACTCATCATAATCATAGCAATATCATTTACCATAACATTAACGCAAAACCAAAGAATTGCTATGTTAATTGTGTCGTTTCAGAGTCCAACTGAACTTGCTTCCAATGAAATTCTCTCTCAAGAGATGAGCCGTCAATGAACAGTTAGCAGAAATTCGTTGGATCTGCTGAATACGATATCGCTAACAGTCGAGATTGGTGAGGCGAAAGCGATACTGAATACGCTTGCAGAACAAAGATAGTAAAAATCAACAATATTACGAGTAACAGACTTTTCCCGTTGAGCATTCATCTCCTCCATCATTCTCGTAATCTGCCGGTCAAGATTGTCTAGCCCGGCCAGTCCACTGGTGAATGATTCCATGTTTGCTTCGTTGTTTTGATGATATCGTTGACGAATTTGATCTATATCGTCATTCTGCAATGACTATTCTGATATGAGTATTAATTAAAAGTGGAAAGCAAGTGGTTAGAGTGGTGAAAATCATGAAAATCAACCTGAAGTACAAAATTTATAAGCAATAACGATTTTCAGTGATATTGTATCGACGAGTAATATCCATTTTCAATGGATATATTAGTAACAATAACCACTAAAATGACAACGATAATGATTATCGTTTCGACACCTATCAAACTGATCATAAGATTAAACGTACTGCTGTGCTTGACGGTGCGATTCGAGCGACGTCAGTGAGGTATCCTTGAGCTGGTTGCTGCTGTTCGCTTGAAGTCTCCTGTTCAGTAGATGATGGCGGCATCCATCTCACTGAACGAAAATACAAACGTATCAGTGCAAATGAAACTGTTGCATTCTTATCGCTACTTTCGTTATCTGCATTAATATTCTTTGTTTTTATCAGTTCCATCACTTCTAATCGTTCATTATTACTATTATTTTCAGCATTATCTACGACTGCTTGCCATTGTGCTTTCAAATCGCCTCAAATACAACTCATATAGATAGAGTTGAACAAATCCTAATGTATTATAAAAGCGATCTCAAAAAAATGATTATTGACAGTGTGTAATTCACCATCATCAATTCCTGTGGCATAGTTACTGATTCTTAGCGAGTCAAATCTGGCAGCTTGAGCGGATCCGTCGACATTTTCTGCGTTCTGAACGTTCGTCTCTGAGCCTTCATGACCACCTCTCTGCATCGTGTTTTGCTCTCGCGTTCTTAAACATGATTTTCACGAATATTTTTT